GCCCACAACAAAGAATTATCAGCCCCACATGCCACTAGGACTGAAATGGAAAGACCTGGGATAGAAAATGAAGAACCCTGTTGGAGTACAAAGGGCACTCGACCAGGAGTCACGGGTGCACGGATTCAGCCCCCACTGTGTGACCTTGAGAAAGTAATTTCCCTTCCTCTGGTCTGATGTTGAGAAGTTTGAACTAAATGATAGATCATATCCAGCACTGACGGTCTACAGCTCTAAGGTAAAATTTGACTTCTATAAGGCTGTCCATTTGGGCAAGAACAGATCTAGCCAAAAGAGAGCTTGGCTTCGGCCCTGCCCCTCCCTCCTCCCTTCAGTCCTCCCCTTCCTTCCATCAGCAAATAGTTAGTGAACATCTACTATGTGCGCGGCACAGTCAGAGAGAGATAGGAAGCGCCACGGACTGGACTGTGCCTCTCCCTCCTCCAAAATAAATTCATTTGTGGAAGCTCTGCCCCCTCAATGTGATATTTGGAGACAAGGCCTTTGGGAAGTAATTAGATTCAGATGAGGTCATGAATTGGGGGCCTCATGATGGGATGAGTGGCTTTATAAGAAGAGGAAGAGAAAAATATCAGAGAAAAATAATGTGTCTCCTGGCGAGTGCAGACACAGCAAGAAGATGACCTTCTGCAAACCAGGAAGAGAGCCCTCCCTAGGGAACCACATCTGCCAGCACCTTGATCTTGGACTTCCCAGCCTCCAGAATTGTGAGAAATAAATGTCTGTTGTTTAGGCCACTTGGTCTATGAGATTTTGTTATAGCAGCATGAGCAGACTAATACAGAGGGGTAAACATGGAGAGAGCTAAGTGAGGCTGCTTCTCTTGTGGAGCTTTCCATTAGAAGAAGGGAGAGACCACTGATGGATCCAGTCTGCTGGCCTCAGCACTGAGGGCAACGCCTCACCCAAAAAGAATGCAAGTGAATATTTGCTCCTAGGACATGTGAGCAGAAACATCAAGAAAGCGTGAGTAGAAACCCCTCTAAGACAAAGGCACAGGGCTTAGGAGGCAGGCCACGGTGACAGAGGTTTAACGTGAGCCCCGGGTCCCCACTCATCACCCAGCTCCAGTCCTGGGCACCTTATTGATGTTGATGTGCAGAGCAGGCCAGGGTCCAGCAGCCTTCACAGTGTCCAGTTCCAGCTTCTTTAGATGGGTGGCCGCCTCGGTGAACAGGGCAGGTGCTCCTGGAGTCAGTTCTAGAACAGACAAAGGGAATGAACGAGGCAAGTTTAGATGGTGCAAGAGCCCGACCAGCTTCCCAGAGCCCGACCGCCAGTACCCTTTCTGCCCGCCTCTTCCTCTGGGGGCCGAATCCCCTGAATGTACACTAGTTGATGGGGTGTGAGAACATCTAAGGCCAAGAGTTCAAGGCCCAACTTCCTCATATATGAGCCAGGTGGCCTGGGGTGAATTGCATTACCTCTCTGAGTCTCTGAGTCAATTTTAATTAAAAATAAAATATTTACCTTTCAGAACTGTCGCAAATATTAAATGAGATCCTTCCTATACCAATGTTTTATTAATGGTATAGCACTATGCAAAATGGAAAGATTAGTGGTCAGGTCAGCAGGCATATGAATGTGCCCTTAAAAACTAGATTATAATTCTAAAGTAAAATTCATTGATTTTGATTTCTGTACTACTTCAGATTACTTCACCACCACTCCTCCCACTAGCTAGTATTTACCCATTAAGACATTCAATATTCAATATTCACTGCATACTAAAACTCATGCCAAGCATTGTTTGCCACTGAGATCTGGGGAGCTGGAATAAAGAGATAAATAAGACAGATCCATGTACAGACCACTCCAAATGAGAGGGATAAAAGGCTTTTTAAATTGCTCTAGGAGTGAGAAGGCAAGTACTCCAAAGCTAGGAATCAGAGAAGGGTGTTAGAGATGGTTTCACTGACAACATTTGAACTGGTTCCTGAAGGATGTGTAGGAGTTCACTAGGGCAGAGAAAAGCACTTCAGGCAGAGGGAACAGCAGGTGCAAAGAACAGAGCTGGGACACACTAGTGTTTGGTGACCATAGTGAGGGTGGGGGGAAAGCTGGAGGCCTTGGCAGGGGCCAGGCTGTGAAGGTCTGTGTGTGGCCATGCTTAGAAGGGTGGGCTTTCCCCTGGGACAGCGAAGAATCGTGGGAAGGTCTTAAGACATTTGGTCAGAGCTGCCTGTGAGAGCTCTCACTTTGGCAGCTACAATACAGAGACTGCACTGGAGGAGGAGCCCTTTAGGGGGCTGTCAGTTATCCAGATACAAAACGCTGAGCCACAGCCTAAGGCGAGGGTGGTGTGGACAGTGACGAGGGGACAGAGCTCTGATTCTTCAACACCAAGGGGATGAAGAGTTCCCACTCCCAGCCCAGCCAACACAGAATTGTCCCCTGTGGTCAATGGGTGAAGGTACAATAACTCTTTTCACCAGCTCACAGGCTTCTAGAATGTCGGCGCTGGAAGGTTCCTTGGCCATCCGCATGGGCACCCTCTACCCCATTTTACAGATGAGAAAACCAAGGATCCAAGAGGGGATTTGGCTCAATTGTGAGAATGAAAATCGCAGCCTCTTGTCTCTTGCCTCCACGTCAGTGCTTTTTCAAACTGTGTATGATAAAGAATGGGTCCTTCCCCCCTGGCTGTCACAGACCAATTCTTGGGTAAAATATAATAAAAGTGAGTTTCTAGAAAAATAAAATAACAGGCATACAAAATCGAAGCCCACATTTTTTTATGGAAATCACTGTCATACTGCTCAACATGTTTCTAATGGCTCACTCTCCATGTCCACAGCTTCTCTCACTGGGACCTGTAACTGTGCTCTGCATCCGAGGTCACCTTGCTCTCAGAAGAGGGATGCCAGAGAGGGAACAGAATGGGCTCTCCTGAAACTAGGGAAGGAGAGATCCCAGCTGCCTCGATCCCTTCCGTCTCTTTCCATTGCTTTGAGCCAGTGCTGGACACTGAAGCAGAGATCTACTGGATGAGCGGTGGAGGGAGGCCTGCCACGTTGGAACGCAATCGGAGCTTACTGGCAAACCACGCTCCCTGAGTTGCTCCTGCCTACATGCCCAAGGCTCTTGTGTGCCCTTGCCCAGCCCTGGTAGCCCAGCCCTGCCATTCCCGCCGATCCACCCTGCACCTGAAGGGCCTGTCTTGAGGATGCAGGGAAGCCGGCCACCCCTGCAGCATCCCTCCCACTACCCTGGCCCGGCCCCCAACCCCTACTCACTTGTAAGGGATTTACTGCTGGAGTTTGGGGACCTCAAAGGCCCCTCCTTGTTCTCCAGCGTCAGCGAGAGGCCATAGTTGGAGTGGTGCTGGTGCTGGTGCTGGTGCTGGTGCTGGTGCTGGTGCTGGTGCTGGTGGTGGTGGTGGTGGTGCCTCCCCGAAGCTTTGGTAGTGAACGGCATACCCCCGTTCTCCTCGATGCCGAAAGGCAGCCGGTCCGAGCTGCTGAGCCCTGGGGAAGGGAGCGGGTAGCTGTGGAGGGTGTCAAAGTCAGTATTTAGAGAAGCAAAATACCGTAGTATTCCTGTGTGTACTTTAAAAGATGTTCTCAGGGCATGAACCACCAAGAGAAATCAGTTCGACAAACAGATCCACAGGGTTATCGCAGAACAGAAGGGAAGCACTGTCCTCAAAGAAATAGCAGAAAGCGGGAGTTTGTATACATCGGAGACCTTCGACCGTACAAAATTCTCAGCTTTGAAATTAAATAATTTCTGTTAAAAAAGATGTTTTCGAAAAGGGAAGGAGGAAATGGAAAGCAAGAATAAAAAGCAATTTGTTAACCAAAATGGGACAAGATCGTAAAAACAAACTAGAAGTCTTAGGATCACTTTCCCTTCCTCCCCATCAACCTCACTGTGCAGGAAGCACCTGTAATGTGACTGCCATGACATCTCTTTATTCCAGTTGTTCCTCTTGTTTTTTACCGCTATTGCTTTATTTGAAGCCCATGTCATCTCCCACTCAGACTGCCTCAAACAGATTCCTAACAGCTCTCCTTGTTTCTGCTCTTTCCTGCAGCCCACCTGCCACAGAGCAGCAGCCAGAGTGCTGTTCTGATCGTGTTCTAGAGCATTATGTTCTAGAGCAGGGGTGGAAAACATCCGGCCCGTGGGCCGTGTATGGCCTGCAAAATCACTTGGTCTGGCCCTGCCAAGGCCTCACCAAAGAGAAGGAGTTCCAGTCATCACATTAGGGGTGAGTTAATGAAATGTGTGACCAAATAGGGCAGGCTAATTTTTAAATTGATAATTTTGTATGGCCCGCAAATGATGTTATAGATATCCAAATGCCGAAAAAAGGTTCCCTACCCCTGTTGAGAGTATTACATTCTGATTATGTTCCTGGCATTCCTCCCTCCAGGAGCTTGCACACCTGTCCATCACTAGTGAGCCTTAAGCATTGGAGACAGAGATCCCTTTTGAAAATCTGATAAAAACCAAACCAAACCATGGTTTGGCAGAAAAGGCACCAAGGTGCAACATTTCACAGTCAATTTCAGGCTCCCTAAGGCCCTTCCATGGACCGAGATTAAGAGCCCTGGGCTGCAGGACAAAATCCTAATTCATTTATGTGTCGCTCACTGTCCCCTGTGATCTTGTCCCATTCTCTTTTCGTCTCATCTCCTGCCACATTATTCTCTGTACCCTACGTCCTTCCCATCCTGGTACCTTTCACCTCTTTCTGTCCCTTGGAGTCCTTTCTCATTCATGCCTCTACCCAGCTAAAACACCCCTTCCTCCAGGAAGACTTCCGGTCTTTAAGACCCAGATGGAAAGTCTCCTCCTGACACCCTCAGGCAGAGCTAACCCCTCTCTCTGCTCATTCCCAGAGACCAGATTTCTCCTGCGCACTCCTTCACTCTGTCTTCAAGGAGCTCATACCTCAGTGTAGGAAACCCTGGATTTGGCCAGTTACAACCACTTGAGAACAAGGTGCTGAGAGCACAGAGGTGCAGGTCACTAATTCTCCAGGGCTTGGTGATGGTGTTGGAGAAAGCATCATAAGGAGAGGGGCATTCAGGGGAGACAGTTACACTTTGGTGGACATTCCTGAAACAGAATCCTCTTTCTTCCGGGAAACCCTATTCCTATGTTTGTGTGAGGTTGATATATCCCCTCAGGGTGGGCCTGAGACAGGAGCCTGGCCATTCAAAGGTCTCCATCCACCCAGGTAGAGTGATTTGTTCTGGGATATGATCCAATCAGAGTTTACCCTAAGGTGTCACACATGGAAACTGAAAGGGGCTCTCTTCCCTTTTAAGAGTCAAGCAGGGCCTTACTGTGCCTTTTGTATGCCCTAAGTGAGCACTTTTGCCTTTATCTCTTTGCTATAAAAAAAAAATTAAAAATTATACTTTATGACCGCATTTATATAAAAGTTAATACCACATATTAAACCATTTTCTTTAAAGGTCCATTTTTACTTCTGAGTTTAAAAGAAATTTAAACATTTTCATGGGCCCCTAAAGTAGTGTGTGCCGAAGGCACTGCACCTACTGTGCCTAATGAATAATTTGGAGCTGGCTATAAGGATGATATAAGCTGAGGCGACTTATGACCATACTCCCTGGACACAAAGAAGTATCTGTGAGAATGAGGCCAATGCACAAAGGGAGACAAGAAAAAGAGAGGTTACAAGGTGAGCAGAGGTTACAGGTAGATGGAAAGAGAGAAAAATCCCTTATGGTATCATTTGGACCGCTGGTTCCAGCCACACCTGAAGCTGTATCTACCACTCAACTTTTCAATGACATGGTCCAGTACATTCTTTTCTGTTATTTAGTCATCTCGCATTTATAACTTGTCTGCTCGGAATTAGTGGAGGTGTGTTATTTTGTTGGTTTTTGTTTTGTGGAATTTCTTACAAGTGAAAGGGTAGAAATGGCTATTGCAAGCCTAAGAAATCGTGTGAGCAAAGGAATGGTGGTTGAAAGAGCAAGATGCTGGAGGAGAGGCAGTGAGGAGCTCCAAGGTAGCAGAGATGAGGCTAAGACGCCAAGCCGACGCCTGGTAGGAAGGGTTAGGTGTGCTGGGTTGGCTGGAGGGCAACGAGGCCCGGGAAGGGGCTTAAGCAAGGGCATGGCACGACTGAAGTTACAGTTTAGGAGGTTCACTTTGCATGCTGTGTAGAGATAGACTCCAATCCCCTCCCTTAGGAGACTGCGACGGGCGGGGCCTGGGTAAGTCAGTGGACTGAGTGTGGTGAGGAACCTCTGGCACATTTCTTCATCCTTTTTTCAACATTTTAACGTTTGTTGATTTTATTTTTATTTTTTGTTTTAACTTATCTTTATTGTTGAAAGTATTACATATGTCCCCTTTTCCCCCCATTGATCCCCCCCCCC